TTGGACTTCCAGCTGTTCGTCACCTCCATCTTCGAACTGTATCGGTGAAACACCAACTACTTCATGCTGAAAACCAAGGACTTATCAATGGAAAGCAAGTGATGATGCCGCCGTTGAAGTTTTGAGTACCTTTGAGTCAAGGGATGAACCAACAGAGAACTGCGAAACTCCGAGCGCGACTGCTTTAGGCTGCCGTACAAGAACACCGTGAATGACCGGAGTGCTGGAACAAAAGCCGATTATGTACTTGATAGATGTTTACAAAATTTTTAAATTTCCATATACCAGAGCAAACCACCCTCAACGTCTTAAAATTCCCATTAAGTGTCATGCATAACATAAAGTCTTAACAAGAATAGAAGACTACCGCCACCAACACCATTTTTCGCATACATAGAATAAAGGAGAAAAGGACTTTTTAGGACAGTGTGAAGTGCCAGCTTTATACCTCTTTGCTGGTCTTCTAATCTTCCTAATACTTCGCGAAGTTCCTCGTCTTAAGCCATTTCTGTCACGAGGATCCTGAGTTCTAAAGAGTTTGTATATAGGTATTCGCTGATAATGTACATACAAGTCGCGTTCATTGAAAATCTGGAAAATTTTATACACTTTTCAAAGGACATTTATTTATAGTATCATCTTATGATGGCTCTGGTGAGCTATGCTGTATTTTAGAATGTATTATGATACGTCTTAACTTATTGCATCGTAACCTGATAACAAAAGTAAGAATCAGGATACCCACCGAGGGCTTAAGCTGGTTCTTGGTCGATTTTGCCGTCTTCGTGGCCTTTGGCAAGTGACGCAAAAGATTCTCACTGGTTCACTAGCAACTACGTTGTTCCTAAAATAAAACTCAAAATTTACCAGCTGGTGTTCCATTTTATATAAATGAATTTATTTGAGCGGAAGGTGCACCTATAATGAAGACTTGGCCAAGCAGGACACTGTCCATTTCTGATGGCAAAGGCTGTCGATGGATTGAATTCACAATGTCCGTTGCTTGGATTGTAATGGGCAATCTAGAAAAAGTATAGGATTGTAAATGCAAGCGTAGTAGATTGGCATAAATACGACTATGCCTTTCCATAGCATTCCAGTTTTTTGATGTCCCGCAGTGATTTTCTTTGAAGCTTTAAACCCATCAATTCCCTTTGTTTCTTCAATGTGAAAGGAGAAGAACAATGATCTTTTTATATCGTATTTCGTTACTCCATTATACTTCAAATTCTACTTTATACATACTAGTGAATTACATACATAAATAGAAATGGAATTGGCTGGGTACGGATATGGGTAGCCCTGATTTCGGTGCTAGAGAAAAAGGTCCTGTAGTGAATGCCTGAGAATATTAAAGCAAAACTTCATCGATTGCTGAGGAATGGTAGTTAAGAAAGAGAAAACTGTAAAGCCCAATGAGTGTCTCCAGAATCAGACATTTGACAGAAGGTCCAAAGCACGTAGGTCTTACTGTGTTGGGAAGTTGAGGTCTTTCTCATTTGCATTTATTTCTCGCTTTTCAAAGGTCAGCTGCTAATTTTCAACCATATCCATGGGGGAAACCGCGTACTCACCGCGTAAACAAGCCTAATTGGGCACGCACCGTAATGATAATTATGAACCTTAATGGCTCAATCACGTGAAACTTGCAGGATGTACAAAAATGTAATTTAAGTGAATCTCATTTTTTCATCCTGCATTTATCCGCTTATGCAGGATCTGCTCTTCGCGGCAAATGTCTCTACTTTCATTCGGGGTCGCACCGTGTTATCACAGATGTGATCTCTCATTATGACACCCAAGGTCCATCGTACCATCCGTGTTTCCATGACGCTGAGTTTGCGCTCGTCTTTGCTAGTGCATGGCCAGCACTCACTGCCATACAATGCCGTCTGATGCAGTAGAGATTTGAGCTGTTCCAGCATTCCTGTTGCACAAGATTCCCGTTAGCGCTTTTTTCATCTATGCGCTATTTACTCTACCTGCAACCTCCTCTTGTAGGCTATTCTCCTTGGTATTTGTATGTTGTTGTTTTCTTCAACTCTCCCAATCCATGCATATGGTTCTGGGGTCTGTTTTCCCACTTCCGTATCTGTCTTCTTGGTGTTGAGCTTCAGTCCATACGACTTTGTTTTCCATTTTTCCGTTTCATCTTCCAATCCCTTTCTTCTGCTTGCTATTAAGACCACATTATCTGCTCACAAAAGTGTCTAAGGTGGTTCGCGGCTGAGGTTCTGTTAGTAAGTCCGTTACTGTGATGAATAGAAGAGGAGACAAAATCGAACCATGATGCACTCCATTCTTGACCTCGAATTCTTTGGACTGTCCTGCAGCTGTTTGTACATGACTTAAAGATAGATGAATATTGGTGATAGATCATCTTGATCCGCACGGACTCCTCCGGCACCATATGTCTTCACAATGCCCACAATATGACTCCATGGAGCATCTTATCAAAGGCTTTCTGGAGGTCCAGGAAGGCTGCATGCAACTCCTGCTTTTCTCTACACTTCTGCATTACAATCTGAGAGGAATGGGCAGCATCGGTACTGCTTACTCTTCTTACGAATTCGCACTGATTTGGAGACAGCTCTACGATTATTCGAAGTCGCCTTTCGATTATTCGATCTTTGAAGTGTGACTCATCAGTCGGATTGGACGGTAGGATGCGCAATCTGCGATGACTCCTTCAATATTGGAATCGTTGTTCTGGTACACTAGTCACAAGGCATACACTTGGTCCTTATGATTTGATTGAGGGAACACGAGAGCCAGCAGGCTCCAAACTATTTACATGCCTCCCAAAACTCATGGTATGTTCGGACCTGCCTTATCGTACTTCGTTTTTGTTAGTGCTTAAAGGCAGCGTCCAGGCAAATCTGGACCTAAGGGGC